CCTAATAACACAACAACACAAACACCCACCTGTACTTCGGTTGTGCTTGTATATACATATTGTAATGTGATAAGTATAAACTCTTGTACTCAGTCATTGATTTTAGTAAAATCTATTGACAAGTGGAGCGAGCTGATTTAGTTGTCTGAACAGCGCAGAATATCGTCTCACTGCATATTCATTTAGACTATGCACTGCGAATAGGCAATCGCACACCACAACAAAAGTAGCTGTTAGAGAAAGTTTAACCCTCGGCCCACATGTGCAGCGAGGGTTACAGTACTTGGTCTGTGTGTGTGAGTGTGTTAACACCTTTTCAGGCACTACCTGGCTACCTGGCTACCTGGCTACCTGGCTACCTGGCTACGTATAAGCAATACCAATGTCTACCAGTGTGTAACAATTTTCCTGAAAACGACTGCATTATATGCCATGAAAAACAGGTGAAAAGGCCAATGTGCATTATCACGCTGGCTTATCTCGACCTGATTCGCTCACTCTGTGTTTATAACTTTGAAGTTGCAGAGCATGCTATCTACTTGTGTACAGCTAGCCTGTGTCAGACTCTCTGCGAGCTATACAGGCGGGAGACCACGGCACGAACAAATGCATAACCCAACCCATTAATGAGTGATACAACAACACACACTCTCTCTCTGCAGGCAGCTGAGTCGTCACCTGGTGGGACTCTGGGTGACTGGGAACCCCACTGCTAATGCCCTCCTCCACAGAGTACTGGTATATACTCCACTCTTCCTTCTCTCTCTGTCCCATTGTATTCTGTTTAACCCTTTGGACGCCATGGGTATCTTCTTAATTAAGCAAAATTTTATGTATGAAGAATTAGTGCCTAGTTTTATAACCCCGCATAAATTGTTATGGACTTATGGAGGCTCCGGACACATTCCTGTGTCCATGGCTGGTTAAGTGTTAATACGTACATCCGAGCGACTTCCCTAGCTCCACAGAATCTGGCACTCTCCTTCTCACACACACACACACACACACATTTTTCCTATTGTTGGCAAACAAAGTGAGCCTACCTAGTTCATCTGAATGTATATATATCTTTCTCTGTCTGCATGTGACGGGCATGTGACGGGCATGTGACGGGCATGTGACGGGCACTGCACATACTGAAATGCTTTACGTGTTTCTAGATACTCAGTGAAAAATTAAACGTCATTCTACTACTTGAAATCATTGCCAGTGTTGTCCAGTCCAGTCCAGGTTTTAGTCATTATCATTACCTCATTTGCTCACTCCAACTTCACCCCTCTCCCCATCTCTCCCATCTCCACTCTCCCATCTCTCCTCTCTCCCATCTCCCCTCTCCCCTCTCTCCCCTCCCCCATCTCCCCTCTCCCATCTCCCATCTCCCCTCTCTCCTCTCTCCCCTCTCCCATCTCCCCTCTCCCCTCTCCCCCTCCCCCATCTCCCATCTCCCCTCTCTCCCCTCCCCCATCTCCTCTCTCCCAGGCTACCTAAGAGAGCTCACCAAACTGAACGTCCAGTCCAATCGCATCACTAGTCTCCCCAGGGGCCTCGGGTGAGTCCGTTACCATGGAAACAGTCACCACGGTGATGTTACATAACCACCCCATGTCCAGGTTGTTACTGAACCTCCAACACCTCAGTGCAGGCGAGAACAATCTACTGGAGATACCAGCTGAGATAGGTCTGCCCCCCCCCTCTTTCCCTTCCTCCCTCCCTACGTATACCTCACTTTTTAATTTGCCAGCAAAGTCAGCCTAACTAGTCGTCTGGATGCCTGATGACGGGCACTCCTATACCGTAATATTCTACGTCATTCTACATACCCACATAAATTGAATGTCAATCTAAGCTAAATACACGTGATAAATTGAACTGCTCGCACTCACTCGCCAATAATGTGTTCCTTCGTTCTAGTATACATTTCCCCACCCCACCCCAGGTACTCTGGAGAACCTGGAGGAGCTGTACATCAACGACAACCCCAACCTGCAGTCCCTGCCCTATGAACTGGCCCTCTGCAAGAAGCTTGCCCTCATGAGTGTGGAGGGCTGTCTGCTCACAAGACTCCCTCCACACGTCGTCGACGGAGGACCCTCCTCAATTATCCAGGTACTTTATCGCCTCAGTTTCTGTGTTAATGAATCAAGTATATAGAACACACAATACTGCATAATAATATAGGTTTGTTGCAGTATGGCTACTACATGCCTGGACACTGCTTGGTGCATTCTTATTGGCTGTTGCATGTCAAATATTATACTAAAAAAGACGCTCCTAATAAAGGACATCTCTATAAGGGACAATTCGTTCTGCCTCGTGTAATCTCTAGGAATTCTTCCAAAAAAGGTCGGCCTCTGAATAAACAATGGCCTGAAGTTGGTATTCATAAACTACTTTTAGGGTGTTTAGACAAGTTGAGTTATAATTATTGAGCAAACAATTATTGCATGGAAGTTAACCCTTTCTTTTACCATCTCCTCTCTCCTTCCTCTCTTACAGCATCTCAAGTACCAGGGTCCTTATCGTGGCCTACACTGATTTGAACTTTGCACCCTGTTGCCATGCCTACTACTGTGTGAATCACAACAACACGAAATGATATTATTTTGTTATTGGTTTGTAACTATCTATTCTGCACCCTTTTGTTTAGTTAGTTTTTCACCCTCAAATAGTACTTTTTGTACTGCTGGTGTGCGATTCAATCATGTAACATGTCCATTTGTTAGATACATACATGATTATGATCGATTTCTTGTTTACTGCGCATGCCTATGGTAGGACGCAGTCTATTGTAGCTCTTGCTACATCATTGTTGACACTTTACCTAAACACCAGTGGGGTCCACTCCACTCTTGAACTTTTTCTTTGGGCAAACACCTATGCCAATTTGCTGCAGGTGACAGTGTGTATAATATTTCAGAGCGACCTTTCCTTGTGCAACCGTAAAGAGAATGGTTCTATATAACCATTAAGCGTAATGATGACATAATAATTTTTCAAAGAGCTTCATGATTAGTTCATTTTGAAGGGCTGGGAAATGAGTTACGCAGGAGACCACAGACATAATATAGCAATGAACTGAATTTCCACTTAGTTAGTCTTTTGGACTTTCTCGACTCCTTTTTTCACTCCGCAGTTCTCGCAGCTCTTTATCCTCGCAAGAATACATTTGCTTGGAATTTTCGTGTGACTGTTTAGTGCGTTGAAGCTGCTCGTTCCAAGAGTTTGTGTGCGAGTGTTTTTGATCTTCGTCCCTTCAAGGTTTTCACGTGAGTATAGAGATGTTGTTAGTCTGATGTGATCTGTTGGTGTCTGTTGCCATGGTGATGTATGTGCAGGTGTTTGCTCTGATTCGCTACACCAATGATCCCCAGAGGTTCAGCATTGAGTACGTCAATGGCATCGTCAGGAAATACAGTGCTACTGAAAGGTGAGTTTCACTTCACCATGGAAATTTAAGCAGTACAGTGGAACTGGACACCAATGGGACCAAAGTGCCCATGATAAGTTGGTGTCCTTTTTCAGGGGTTAATTGCATGCAAGAACTGTTGTTCGGTAAGAAAAAAGTTTCCTCTTTAGAGAGGTGTCCTCGTTTTTGGGGTATCCTGTGTGTGTAATATTTGCTTATACACATCTCCCCCCTCCTCCTTCCCCTCTCCCCTCCTCTTTCTCTCCCTGCCAGAGATGCCCTGCTGTGCAGTATCCTGGATGGAGTGAGGGCCAGTGGGAACAGAGACATCTGTGTGAAGATGACACGCACCAACCGAGGCCAGAGACTGGGGCCACTCCATCTGCCTGTGGAGGAGGAGGTGGAGAGCCAGTACCTCAAATACCTCGTCAACACTCCTCCATGTGAGTCATGTGACCCCTCCCTGTGAGTCATGTGGCCCCTCCCTGTGAGTCATGTGACCTTCACTGTGAGTCATGTGACCTTCACTGTGAGTCATGTGACCCTCTCTGTGAGGTATGTGACTCCTCCCAGTGAGTCATGTGACCCTCCCTGTAAGTCATGTGACCCTTCCCTGTGAGTCATGTGATCTGCTTTGAGTTACAATGTGATCCTCGATGTAAGTGGTCTGACCATCCCTTGTTAATCCTGTGATCTTTCCTGTGAGTCATGTGATCTTCCCCTGTTAATCATGTGACCCTTTCAGTGAGTGATGTGACACCCTCTATAACTCATGTCACCACAGTCATGTGACACCCTCTATGACTCTATGTCACCACAGTCATGTGACTCTCAAATTATGGTCGTAATACTCTGTCTATAATACATTTCTTGCTCGATTCTGTAGTAAACCCGCCTCCTATCCTCTTTCAGCGGTGCAGTTCCATGAGGCAGTGGAGAAGTTCAACTCCAACGTGGCTTACAGTGGCCTCAACCATGCAGTGTCTTCTGAGGTCGGGCATTCGTGACAACTCTTTGTCCGTTTCATGTGAAATTTGCCGTTTGTTCTCACGTCTCCAACTTTTTTCAGACCTCTTGGCCATAGGGCATAAATTTGTCGTGGGCTCTAAATCTCGAGATTGTAAAAAATCCCTATCCTGGTAAAATACATGGAACTGATGGAACTGATGCAAAATTCCACAAACTGGTTTTGGTAAAATACATATTCAGTTGACATTTTATGCCATGTAGGGTCTTCAGCTTCTCTTCTTTCTCCCCCTCCACACACACACCGTACGTACTCAGGGTATATTTTCAGAGAACAAGGAGAAGCTCATCAACGGATCCCTCACCGCACTGCTGATGAAGGAAGGAGACCAGAATTCCCTCCCAAATGACAGACTAGAAGAACAGTTCCATGCCCTCAGGAGACTAGTGGCCTCCAAGGCTGGCTACGAGGCCTTCACCTCCCTCACCAAGTGAGACGCTACCGTATTACTGGACATTTACTAGGGAGAACACTTTAGTCATTTGGTAACAAACAATGTTGCTGGTCCCGGTCCAGCAATACAAATATCCCCTAAATTTTCACAGATAAAATTGTCATTGACTGTTCAAAAATTGTGAAATTCACCCCCTCAAATGTTTCGCACTATGCGGTGTGTGTGTGAGCTATGTATGTACATCCTGAACTTGCTGCTACCGTACCTTGGCTGTACGTAACTACTATGCATGTGATATCTAGTATGCTATGCTTACTATGGTGGACTTAGCACACCATACCTATTTCTCCTTGTCTATGTATATACCCTCTTAGTTTGACAGCTAGTAGGGCAGCAAGTCCATTAAATCACATGTCGTTTGAGACCCAGTGTCTTTAGGACTTCAGTCACACATATATACAATATAAAGTACGTACATACATAGATGTCATGGCGAGCTGTCTACAAGTACACTTGTTTTCAACCGCCCATCGGTTGCTCATGGAAATGAGCACCAAGGGGGAACATACATACATACACTTGCAGTAAGCGCAGTTTGAACTCTGTCAGATTTAGCAAACACATTTTCATGTGCGAGTAACCCTTTCCCCCCCTCTCTCTCTCTCTCGTCCCAGTTTCAGGGAGATAGTTGGGAAGAAGGTGGTTCGAGCCCTCCGCAGGAAGGACGACGGGATCAGCCATGCCTGTGTGGACTTCCTGTGTGCCCTCATGCAGCCCATGCACGACAACTACGACCTGAGACAGGAGCAGATGAACAAGTCCTCTCTCCTCTCCAGCAAACCGTTCCTGGAGATGGTGCTGGAACCTCTCAAGACACACGTGGTGAGTAAGACCACACCACTGGTATATGTAGAGCTCACTGAACTCTAGCGGAAATGATTCTCTGATTTTGGACCAGTTTAGGAAAGGCCAACATATATACATAGACAACTTTGAAGTGTGAGACAAAAGTCTCATGCAACTTCAATGTATGAGTATGTATGATAGTCCATGCAACAAGCGGAACAAGTTGTGTGCATTAGACAACACTCCTTTCAATGAAGCAACATGTTGCGTGAACCATCATACCCATGCATTGAATATTTTGTCTCGTGCTACGTGTAGTTGCCCTGTGTTGGCAGTAAGACACCAGGGGTATGTAGAATTTCCACTTCATTTCGATGCTACGATAGCCCTATATTTGCTACACCGAAAAACCCTATCCTTGACCCACTATGAAATGCTATACGTAGATTCCCTGAGTGAAGAGTGTGTTGTACTAGGAGTGAGACTGATGTCCCTTGGGCACTGCACTCTAATAGAAATGATGATTCTCCCATTCTAGACCCAGTTTACTAAAGGCCTACTTACTTTGTTGCGTGCTACACCGAAAAAACCTGTCCTTGAAACTGCAAAATTTATGAAGCAAACTTTAGTGATGATGTGTTGTACAGGGAGAGTGGGGGAGTGGGAATTAATGATGTAATTAGGGAGTGAGAATTAATGATGTGAGAATTAATGATGTAATTAGGGAGTGAGAGTGATGTAATGTTCGGTGGATAAGAGCCAACGTTTATTTCTCCGCAGCAACTTGGGACGGGAGCACTGGTAGTCAGCTCCATTCTAGATTTCTTCACATTTGCTGTCTGTCCTCCCTACAGGTTTGTACTGTACATACAGTATAATATATACACACTACAAGGAAATGGTACATAAGGGCTAAGTTTACTAAGAGAATGGGTCGGTATAATATTAGAGCTAAATTTACTAGTGAATTTGACATTATATTCAGGCCTTATACTGACACAATCCCTTGTTTACTTATCAGAATAAAAGGACTAATATTTAGACAGTAACTTTGACGTCACTTTCTGTTTAATGTATAATTATTCATACGTACGCTGTATATGTGGTGCTAATTGTACTGATGTGTGGTATTACATCTCTACTTTCAGTGAGACAACTGAAGCAGAGAAGTTTGACATGGTTTTGGAGCTCATTTCTGGTCTGTCTCCATTATAATACATACTTATTGTATTTTGCGTGGGCGAATCAAAGGCGCCGCCAGTACTATTATTCATCATACAGAACGGTTTTTGAATGAACTGTACTATATCGCGCGGAACTGTACTATATCCGCGGACTAGCGTACGCTTTGCGGGAATAACGCCCGTGGCGGCCTTTCGTAGACGGAGTTCGACTCAGACGGTGACACAAACAGCTGCTGAAAGGGCGCTCCGCGAGCTTCTAGTCCTTCTGAACTTGCAAAAAAAAGATTTTCCTGGCCGCCGCCTTTTGAACTATATCCGCGGACTAGCGTACGCTTTGCGGGAATGACGCCCTCGGCGGCCTTTTGTAGACGGAGTTCGACTCAGATGGTGACACACAGTTTTGGAGCTCATTTCTGGTCTGTCTCCATTATATTACATACGTTCAGTACATCTCCATTATATTACATACGTTCAGTACATCTCCATTATAACACAGTACTCATTGATCTGTATTGTCAATTGTATTGCCTGTAAATATACATACTCTCCCTACTTTACAATAGTCATGGTTTATTTAAGGACATGAAGTATACAATAAGTTTACCACTGGTAGCGGTGAGTATAATGTTAAGTATTCTCTCCCTCTGCAGGTCTGGGAAGAACAGTGTTCAAACTCTTTCAGGTATTAAACATAATCTGGAGGAAATAAGATTACATATGGCTTTGCAAGTTGAACCACAAACACCTACAACCTCGACAACCTGCTGAGCTCGGCTAGTTGAGCGCTCGCCTAGACTGCAGAGTGTCGTGGGTTCGAATCCCACCCAGGGTAGCTCTTCTTTTTTCCTTGGAAAAAGAGTTGTCCTGGGTTTAGTTGTGTTGTTTTGGTTATCTTTGTCTAACAGCCTGTTGTTAACACAAGCTCTCTACAGAGTCATTCTATGTTTATCTTCTCTTGATCAGCACCCTTCTCTGGCCATTGTGAAGGCGGCTGGACTTATCATGAAAGCCATCATTGAGGTGAGCATTACATCATCATTACATCACTGTCTGTCCATGTGTGTTGGGTGTGGTCTGTCCAGGAGGGGACGCCGGAGATGGCAAAGAAGATGCAGGACCTGGCGCTGGCAGAGGGAGCTCTCCCCCGGCACCTCCACACCTCCCTCTTCACCGCTTCCAGTGACAACAGACTCCTCACTCACAGGTCAGAGGTCAATTCCTGACCACACCCCTCTATCGACATGTGTAAGGCTAGAACAAGCTCACATTGAAACCCTGGCTTGTACAGGTTAACCAGCTTGTATGTAGATACCACCACACACACAATGTACATAATGAAGCACTGTCCAAAAGCTTCCTCTGTGGGGATGTGCAGTGAGGATTACTTGGTTTGCAAGTGTGTGTGTGTGTGTGTGTGTGTCGGTTTTTTGCAATGTGGAGTGGCCAGCCCATCAATTAGCAGTGTGGTAATTGGGGAGCGAAGCGAGCCTACTAACTAGTTGTCTGTGGGGGGTTTTCTATGTACATCTTTCTTATTCATTTATATGTAACAGGCACTGCACATATCGTAATGTTACAATACACACTAAAAATTGAGTTACACCAGCCAGTATGCTCACAGTTTTGGATCCTTTTTGACACGCTGGGTAATGTGATTGGTCAGTCCTACAATCAGACCACCTCTTTCAGTATTCAAGATCTCACTGGAATCTCCAAATAAGGTCAGGCATGCAATAGGGCTGCATATCTAAGGCTGTGAATATTGGTAGAGTGACAGAAAGTCAAGGGCTGTTTCCTGTCAGCCTCAGTTTCACCCATTTCTTGGAGTTAGCCCACCGCCTTCGCTTGCTTCTTTCTTGAGCAGCTTGCTTGCCTCAGTCTTCACTAGACCCTCTCTCTAGCTTGTCTGCTATACTACTGACAGAGCCATGGCTGCTAAACCCTCCACTGCTGCCGAGAAAGCTCTCCAGAAGATCCAGGACCAGGTCACCTGTGGGATATGTCTGGAGCCCTACAAACAACCAAGGCTGCTCAAGTGCTTCCACGTGTATTGCGAGCAGTGCCTGCAACGTCTGGTACGTGGGGGACGAGAGGGACAGAGTCTCCCATGTCCACAATGTCGCCAGGACACTACACTGCCAGTGGGTGGAGTCTCGGGGCTCCAAGGAGCCTTCTACATCCACTACCTCTTTGACATCCTAGACGCCCTCAGGAAAGTTAGCTCCAGCGACCAAACCATGTGCAACAAGTGCAAGAAGTTCGAAGCTGTTTGTTTTTGTCGCATTTGCGGGTTTGCATGCCAGCGCTGCAAGGAAATCCATCAGGATTGGGACGAATTGAAAACCCACGAATTTATCGACCTAGACACCTTGATTGGAGACGTTACCACCCTCGTTCCTCCTCTCAAGAAGACTCTCTTTTGTGCCACTCATCCGTCAAAGAAGGCAAAGCTCTACTGCGAGACGTGCGACGAGTTGATATGTCGAGACTGCATCGTTCGTGTTCATCGCGACCACCAGTACGATCTGGTGCCTGAGTCGTTTGCCAAGCAAGAGAAAGTGATCGTTGACTCTCTGAAGCCAGTGGAAGAACAGATTGTTACGTTAGAAAGAGCCGTTGAGTCGGTAGACACGCAATGTGCTGCAGTCGTAGGACAGAAGACAGCTGTGGTGGCAGAGATCCGCACTGCCATGGCACACCTGCGACAAGCCCTTGACGCGAGGGAGACAGAGCTGGTGGGTCAAGCTGAGCAGACGGCACAGCAGAAACTGAAGACCTTGGCAGCACAGCAAGGCAGGTTTGAACTGCAACTGGGCCAGCTGAGGAGCTGCCAGGACTTTGTGGAGGAGAGCCGACGTACTTGCAGCCAGGGGGAGATTCTGAGTATGAAGAGTCCTCTCGTGAAACAAGTCAACGACCTGACAGGTAGTTTCAAGCCAGAGACACTGGCTCTTGCCGAGCAAGCCGACATGGTGTTTGCTCACAGTCTGCCTGAGCTTGTGAAGACTTGCCAGCAGTTTGGTAAGGTGTACTGTCATCCAGTGTGCCCTGAGAAGTGTCGAACCTCAGGTGAAGGCATCAAGGTAGCCACGAGAGGGCAAACAGCGGCTGTCTCTGTAAAGGCTTTAGATAGGGAGGGAGAAGCCTACCTCAGACCTGTAGACAGCTTGAGGTGTGAGCTAGTTGCTAGCGATGGCAGCAGTCGAGTCAGGGGCACTGTGAAGAGAAGAAATCAGAACATCTACGACATCAGCTACCAGCCTCAGGTCACTGGAGAACATCAACTACACATTCTAATAGAAGAACATCCGACCTTGAACAGTCCGTTCACTGTCACCGTTCTACCCAACTTCACTGCCATCATTGAAGACCTCAATGCACCATATGGTATAGCAGTTAGGGAGGGAGGAGAGGTTGTAGTAGCAGAACGGAGTAGTCACTGCATATCAATCATCAGTGGAAATGGAAAGAAGAAATCATTTGGTACTCGTGGCTCAGGTCCTGGTCAGTTTGACCATCCTGAAGGTGTAGCAATAGACAATGGAGGAAACATTCTTGTGGCTGACTATGACAACCATCGTATTCAGCAGTTTTCATCCACTGGCAAACACCTCAGAACAGTCGGTACCCAGGGCAGTGGACCTCTTCAGTTCCAGTATCCAGAAGGCATTGCAGTTCATCCTCACACTGGCAGGGTGTATGTTGTTGACTGTTGGAACCACAGAATTCAGGTTCTGAACTCTGACCTCACATACTTTAGTAGTTTTGGTAGGAAGGGCTCTAACAATGGAGAGTTCAGCTATCCTTTTGATGTAGCCACAGACAGAGATGGCAATGTGTATGTAGCTGACAGTGACAACCGCAGAATTCAGGTCTTTACAGTCGATGGAGTCTACTTGAGGCAGTTTGGGAAGGAGGGAGAAGGAGAGGGAGAACTAAACCAGCCAGTCAGTATTGCTATTGACTCTGGCAATGTAGTGTATGTTGGTGAATATGGGAACAATCGTATATCAATATTCTGTACTGATGGAGAGTTTATCAAGTCATTTGGAAGTGCGGGAAAAGGTCCTGTGGAGTTTGATCGTCCATATGGACTAGCAGTAGACAAGAAAGGAACACTGTATGTCAGTGATTTTGGGAACAATCGTATACAGATCTTCACCTAATAACACAACAACACAAAACCCTCCTGCACTTCGGTTGTGCTTGTATATACATATTGTATTGTGATAAGTATAAACTATTGTACTCAGTCAGTGATTTCTATTGACAAGTGGGAGCGAGCTGACTTAGTTGTCTGAACAGCGCAGAACATCGTCTCACTGCACATTGATTTAGACTACGCACTCCGAATAGTCGATCGCACACCACAACAAAAGTAGCTGTTAGAGAAAGTTTAACCCTTGGCCTGCATGTGCAGCAAGGTTTACAGTACTTGGTCTCTATCTGTGTGTGTCGATGATTATTCTGGCACTACAGGCTACAAGGCGGCCTATAAGCAATACCACCGGCTTTATACCTACATACCAGTGGGTAATTTAACAATTTCCTGAAACGACTGCGTTTTAGAGATGAACCATGAATAATAAGTGAAAATGAATCCTGGCCACTGCGCATGCCCATGTCCTGCCCATGTATGACTCGTTGGTTAACTGGCTCACTGATCTGCTTGGTGTACCTTGGTGGCACAAGAAGTAGGAGAGTCGCATGCTATCTACTAGTGTAGCTAGCCTGTGTTCGACTCTGCTCAATGCTACTGGTACACAGCACGAACCACGGCACGAACAAACACATGCTATCTACTAGTGTAGCTAGCCTGTGTCCGACTCTGCTCAATGCTACTGGTACACAGCATGAACCACGGCACGAACAAACACATGCTATCTACTAGTGTAGCTAGCCTGTGTTCGACTCTGCTCAATGCTACTGGTACACAGCACGAACCACGGCACGAACAAACACATGCTATCTACTAGTGTAGCTAGCCTGTGTCCGACTCTGCTCAATGCTACTGGTACACAGCACGAACCATGGCACGAACAAACACATGCTATCTACTAGTGTAGCTAGCCTGTGTCCGACTCTGCTCAATGCTACTGGTACACAGCATGAACCACGGCACGAACAAACACATGCTATCTACTAGTGTAGCTAGCCTGTGTCCGACTCTGCTCAATGCTACTGGTACACAGCACGAACCACGGCACGAACAAACACATGCTATCTACTAGTGTAGCTAGCCTGTGTCCGACTCTGCTCAATGCTACTGGTACACAGCACGAACCACGGCACGAACAAACACATGCTATCTACTAGTGTAGCTAGCCTGTGTCCGACTCTGCTCAATGCTACTGGTACACAGCACGAACCATGGCACGAACAAACACATGCTATCTACTAGTGTAGCTAGCCTGTGTCCGACTCTGCTCAATGCTACTGGTACACAGCACGAACCACGGCACGAACAAACACATGCTATCTACTAGTGTAGCTAGCCTGTGTCCGACTCTGCTCAATGCTACTGGTACACAGCACGAACCACGGCACGAACAACCATTACCAGTCCATTAATTAGTCCACATGCTGTGGGTTTCATGTTTCAGCGCTGAGTGCTAACCTCTTAGCAGTCTTTTCTGTCTGCAGCCTCCTCAAAGTTCTCCCTCTCTCTCTGTAGGCAGCTGAGTCGTCACCTGGTGGGACGCTGGGTGACTGGGAACCCCACTGCTAATGCCCTCCTCCACAGAGTAGTGGTAATATATACTCCACTCTTCCTTTCTCTCTTTCCCATTGTATTCTGTTTAACCCTTTGGACGCCATGGGTATCTGCTTAATAGCAAATTTTATGTATGAAGAATTAGTGCCTATTTTATAACCCTGCATAAATTTTATGGACTTATGGAGGCTCCGGACACATTCCTGTGTCCATGGCTGGTTAAGTGTTAAACGTACATCCGAGCGACTTCCCTAGCTCCACAGAATCTGGCACTCTCCTTCTCACACACACACACCCGCCCACATTTTCCTATTGTTGGCAACAAGTGAGCTACTCGTTTCATCTGAATGTGGTAGCTAGCCTGTGTCTCTGTCGTGCATTTTTACGGGCTGTGACGGGCATTGACGGGCATTGACGGGCTGTGACAGAACTCACATACGCAAAAATGCTTTAACACGTGTTTGTAGATACACGTGAAAAATTAAACTCATCTACTACTGTACTCATTGCCATGTGTCCAGACTCTGCTCATATGCTACTGGATGCCATTCTGCATACGACTTCACTTTTGTGTCATGTTTATTTCTGATAACAAGCATGCTGGGTCTATGACATGATGTGTAGTCTCAGCCTGATGCTCCAGCCACGGTGTCTAATGCAGTCACTTAGCTACGATGTGTAATCTCTACAACATCGCACATCCACTGCGTCTAATTGCAGTACTATCGCACGATTGGTCTCTATCATATCCTCCAGCCACTGTCAGTGCAGTACTATATCCCGCGTGTGTCCTCTCGATCTCCTACAGCTCACTGGGTCATGCAGTACTATAGCACGAGTGTGTCTCGAAATATCCTACAGCCCTGGGTCTAATGCTTGCTATAGACGACGTGTGTCTTAAATATCCTACAGCCACTGGGTCTAATGCAGTACTATAGAATGATGGGTGGTCTCTATAAATCCTACAGCCACTGGGGCTAATGCAGATATAGCCCGAATGGGTGTCTCTATAAATCCTAAGCCACTGGTCTAATGACAGTTTACTATAGCACGATGTGTGTCTCTATAATATCCTACAGCCATGGGTCTAGTGCCAGTACTATAGACGATGGGTGCTCTATAATATCCTACAGCCACTGGGTCTAGTATGCAGTACTATAGCAACACAACCACGGCACGAACAAACACATTACCAAGTCCATTAATAGTCCACATGCGTTGGGTTTCATGTGTTCATGCGCTGAGTGCTTTTTATAACGCCTCTTAGCAGTCTTCTGTCTGCCTAGCCTCCTCAAAGTTCTCCCTCATCTCTCTGTAGGCAGCTGAGGTCCGTCACCTGGTGGGACTCTGGGTGACTGGGACCCACTGCTAATGCCTCCTCCCGAGTAGTGGTATATACTCCACTCTTACCTTCCGCTCTCTGTCCCCATTGGTAATTCTGTTGTAACCGCTTTGACGCCATGGGTATCTGCTTAATTAAGCAAAATTTTATTGTAATGAACGAAGTAGTGCCTAAACGTTTTTTGCTACCCTTCGCACTAAATTATTATGGACTATGGAGGCTCTCCGGACACCTTTCTGTGTCCATGGCTGGTTAAGTGTTAATACGTACAACATCCGTAGCGACTTTCCTAGCTCCACAGAATCTGGCAGCTCTCCTTCTCACACACACACACACACACACACTTTTTCCTATTGTTGGCAACACAGTGAGCCTACCTAGTTCATCTGATGTATTAGTATATCTTTCTCTGTCTGCATGTGACGGGCATGTGGACGGGACATGTGACGGCAATATGTGACGGGCATGTGACAGGAACTGCACATACTGAAAATGCTTTACGTGTTTGTAGATACACGTGGAACAAATTAAACGTCATTCTATCCTACTATTTGAAATCATTGCCAGTGTTGTCCAGAGTAGTATTGTAGTGGAATGCCATTTATGATAGTTTCCTTCATTTGGGTGTCTGTTTATTCTGATAAAGCAGAGCCGCTGGGTCTATGACATGGCATGTGTCTCTCTATAATATCCTACAGCCACTGGGTGCCTATGCCGTACTATAGCACGATGTGTATCTCTATAATATCCTACCGCCACTGGGTCTAATGCAGTACTGTCATAGCACGACCGTGTGTCTCTATAATAGTCCTACAGCCACTGGGTCTAATGCAGTACCTCAAGTCCAATGAGAAAGTTCCGGAAGAGGCAGATCGCATGCATGTCAGAGACAACCTCAAGGCCGTACAGGTATATAGTGCAATATCCCCTTCTGTCGTTTTTGTTCCTTCATTCTTGGTTAGCCACTTTCTATTGTACAATTCTCACCTACCTGTCTCTCTGACGGTCACCAGCCACCATCTTGGTTGGTAATTGGTGGTGAAACATGTACAGTGCAACCACCGAAAAGTCCCTCTGAAAAATAGTTATGCCTGCCACTTACTAATAACTAATACATCATTATATTGAAATAAGGGACACCTCTGAATAAAGGACCGTGTCCCCAAGGTGTCCCTTATTAAGCAGTTTCACTGTATAGGTAGGTAGGGTGGTAGGTATGTTGTTTAAAGGAAACATGTCAGTACATAATGGCTATAGCAATTAGGGCCAAGTGCAAACATGGGCCAAGTGCAATTATTTTTAGTAACAGTTTCTAAATTTAGCCCTTACGTATATACTGTCGCATTGCCAGAAGCCAGCAAGTGCGCACGTGCGCATGGGTAGTAGGCTACGCAGTCGTATTTCTCTCGCTGGAGGTCGACGACTGCTACAAAGTCACAATAAAACACATACTGTGCGTCCTATCATCGTTCTATACATGACTAGAAAGTTCACCACACCCCCGCGTTCCCATAAATCACGTATGAACCTCTAAACGCACATTATCTCTAGCTAAAAGCACTCCTATACATTCACTATGGTCTGCTACAGCGTGCCATACCACAGGCTCACTGGGTTGGTACATTCTCGCACAAAATGTGCTTTTGTGTGATGTGAGTGGTTTTAGTGACGTTCCCCTACCGCGGGTCGCAGATCGTTTCCTCACTCCAGACTTGTCACCCTCTCCCCTCTCATCTCACCCTCTCCCTCGGTCCCCTCTCTCCATCTCTCTCTCTCCTCTCTCCCCTCATCCCGTCTCTCCTCTCTCTCTCTTCACTCCCTCCCCCATCTTCCCGTCCTCTACTCCCCTCTCCCTCATCCTCTCTCTCTCTCCCAGGCTTACCTAAGGAGCTCACCAAACTGAACGTCCAGTCCAATCGCATCATTAGTCTCCCCCAGGGGCCTCGGGTGAGTCCGTTACCAAGGAAACAGTAACCACGGTGATGTTACATAACCACTCCATGTCCAGGTTGTTACTGAACCTCCAACACCTCAGTGCAGGCGAGAACAATCTACTGGAGATACCAGCTGAGATAGTCTTCCCCTCCCCTCTTTTCCTTCCTCCCTCCCTACGTATATACCTCACTTTTAATTTGCCAGCAAAGTCAGCCTAACTAGTCGTCTGGATGCCTGATGACGGCACTCTACTATTCGTCATTCTACATACCCACATAAATTGAACGTCATTCTAAGCTAAATACACTGATATTGAAATTACCAGGTACTTTTATCGCCTCAGTTTCTGTGTTAATGAATCAATAAAGGACATCTCTATATGGTACACTTTGTTCTGCCTCGTGTATACATTAGTGCATCTCTGGGAATTCTCCACAAAAGGACGGCCTCTGATAAACAATGGCCTGAAGTTGTATTCATAAACTACTTTTAGGGTGTTTAGACAAGTTGAGTTATAATTATTGAGCTTGCATGGGAAGTTAACCCTTTCTTTTATATACCATCTCCCTCTCTCCTTCCCTCTTACAGCATCTCAAGTAGCCAGTGTCCTTATCGTGGCCTACACTGATTTGAACTTGCACTCTGTTGCCATGCCTATTACTGTGTGCATCACACAACACACGAATGTCTATTTTTGTTATTGAGTGTGTAACTATCTATTCTGCACCTTTGTTTAGTTAGTTTTTCACCCTCAAATAGTACTTTTTGTACCGCTGGTGTGCGATTCAATCAGTAACATGTCCATTTGTTAGATACATACAGATTATGATCGATTTCTTGTTTTACTGCGCATGCCTATGGATAGGATGCTGGTGTATTGTATATACTCCTGCTACATATTATTGTTGACACTTACCTAAACACCAGTGGGGTCCACACTCCACTCTTTGAACTTATTCTTTGGGCCAATAATAGTTCAGTGTAACATAAAGAGAATAGTTCTAAGCATTAAGCGTAATGATGACGTAATATTCGCAAAGAGCTTCATGATTAATTCTTTTTTAAGGGCTGGGGATGAGTTATGCACACAGGGGAGAACCACAGAAACGACAATCGACTTTATGAGTCATTCCACTTAGTTTATTGGATTTTCTCGACTCCTTTTTTCACTCCGCAGCACAGCAGTTCTCGCAGCTCTCTATCCTTGCACGAATACAATATGATCTGCTTGGAAATTTCGTTTCGTGATACAACCCGTCAGCAGCTAGACGACGAAGTTGACTGTTAGTACGCATGCGCAGTGGGCTGAGAGCGCTCTCCAAGAGTGTGTGCGAGTGTCTTGACCTTCGTACCTTCAAGGTTCACGTGAGGTGTAGAAGAGATTCATGGACGTTCCTCTACGAAGGGTGTTCTGACTGTCAAGCCATAGCCTAGCTAGCTGCGAGTAAACTGAGCTGATAAGCTTTCATCTAGTGGCTTCCCCTGGCCTCCTCGCGCAGGTAGGAGAGTGTGTGGAGGACGGAGAGCGGGGAATGGCGCAGGGAACGAAGACGTGGCCAAGTTCTACTGCACCAAGCACTCGTGGAGGGGCAAGTGAGTCTGGCGAGGAGGGGGCGGGTGGCTGCTGGGGCAGCTACGTACGCGCAGGAGGCTCCGGGGAGAGAGTTGGGGGGAGGGAGAGGGGAGGGGCAAAGTGGATTAGTGCAGTTGTGTGGGTGTGCGTGCATGTGATAGTGTCTGCGAGCAGCGCATTAGAGACAGACAGCACAACCACTCAGGACACCCGTGTACATGTCTACGATGCATACACACAGACGGTGTGTGTGTGTGTGTCTAATACCAGTAATCAACCCACTTTTCCCTCGCTAATGTGAGGGAGGAGAGGCCAATCACTTCTCCTTGAGAGCCCCTTGACGTTTAGGCTAACCTTTCATTGCACACAGGACAGGGCTTTCGCCACCTCTCTTTGTCATATATATCCATTTGTCATTATAAATGAAGGAGTGGTATATTTAGAGTGAGCTGGTTCGAATTGACCAATCAGACTGCCAAAAAAGCCAAGGTTTACTGTTTCCTGTAGTAAACCTCGACGGCTGGCCCTCGGGGCACCACAATGGTGGGGCTCTTGGCTTTCTACTGCACATATATACAGTTACCTTGAATCAGCATCTGACTTATATGTATCATCTCCCTTGACCTTCTTGATCTGGTGTGTCTGTGCTATAATGTACAGGTACAAGAGAGTGTTCTCCATAGGGACCAAGGCAATCACTACATACAACCCCAACACTCATGAAGTCACCAATCAGGTGAGGGGACATGAAATGTCCAGCCAACACTGGTAGACAACTCATGTTCATCTGTTTCCGTTAAGAAAGAATGCAACACTATGCAGTACTGTAAAGGCTCACAAGGGAGAGTATATGGGTCATGGGTCTGGAACCTCCCGATCATACTTGCTCTCTCTCCCTCTTCCTCCCTCCCTCCCCCTCCCTCCCCTCCCTCCCTCCCTCCCTCCCTCCCCCCTCCCCCCCTCCGTCTCTGTCCCAGTGGTGTTACAATGAGTTTGTGGGTATTGCTCCTAGTCCCAAGGCCAGCAATGAATTCATCATCACCATGAAGAAAGGTATGCTACACCACTTCATCTCCACTAGCCTGGTTTTGCCTACTCTTTTATTCAACTATCCCTTGATTCATGCTTCCTGCACAATGGAATCCCCTCTTATGAGGACACCTTTCCCGAAGAACAGTTCTTTGTATGCAATGTAACCCCTGAAAATTCACTATAATATGGATATATACTTTCTTCTGTCCCACTGGTGTCCCAATTGGTTCCATGTTGTCCTTTCCTCAGGAAGGAAGACTCAGCAGATGACCTTCTCGACTGAGTTCAGACCTGAGGTCCTCACTCGCACTCTGGTCAGTCCACACCTCTGCATCTCATTGACTTCACATCCCTCCCTCCTCCAACTCACTTCTTGCTCCCTCCCTTTCTCTGCTCCCTCCCCTCTTTGTAAATGGGCACACACACAAGCACCTTATAACCATAATTATGTAGTTCATGACACCCCTCCCTCCATCACTTCTCCCTCACTTCCCTCACTTCCCCTCTTCCCCCTCCCTCCCTCCCTCACTTCTCCCTCACTTCCCCATTTCCCCATTTCCCCCTCCCTCCCTCCCTCACTTCTCCCTTGCTCGCCCTCTCACACCTCTTTCCCCCCCTCCCCTTCCCTCCTTGTCGGTGTGTGCAGATGTTCAGTCCGTTGTTCTGTGAGCAACCTCGAAATGAAACAGACAAGGTCAGCTATACATCCTTTGACTCCATACTTCCCCTAGTATATACTGTGTATGACTCCCTCTATGTTGTGTATATACATGTGTACAGAGGTTTGATGCAGCCAAGTTCCACTGGGACGAGGCCAAAGTCAAGGTCCTCCTAGTGGTGAGTGGAGAGAACAAGTTAGGCCTACAGAGTCCCTAGCCCTGGATTCCCTCCTTCCTCTTCCTGCCGCCCTCTTATGTAATCAGTGTAAACCTCTGAATATGGGACACCTTTGGGACATTATAAGTGTCCTTTATTCAGAGACATCCCTTTTTTGCATGCACTGAAGTATTAGTGTGGGGCAGAGTGCAGAACCAAGTGTCTTTATAAAGAGGTGTCCGTTACTTGAAGGGTAAAGTGTTGGTATGTGGCAGGCTTTAGAGAGGTGTCCGTTATTTGAAGGGTAAAGTGTTGGTATGTGGCTGGCTTTAGAGAGGTGTCCGTTATTTGGAGGGTCACGTGACTAGTTTCCATTCACTCACTTCTTTCTCTGCCCTCCATCGTTCGTCTTCTCTGGCAGGTTCGCAGGTACTGTGTGAGCCAGGTGGACATCACTGGCCACACTCTCACTGACTACAAGTACAAAGACATCGAGTACATGGCAAAGGTTCAGGTTACACTATACTCTCACCGTGTTATGTCCCTAACTGATGGGAGAATCAGTAGCTGAGACCAAAACAACAGTAGTATGGGTAGAGTGTGACAGTGTGGAGTGTAGCTTGCTAAGAAAATGTAAGAGTGTGGAGTGTATGATATTCATACTGTACATCTGACTTCTTGTGTCTGTAGTCTACAGTAGTAATGTACTATATACAGTGTACTGTAGTCATGTGTTGGTCAACAGGTTGCAGATCATCCGGGAGCCTTTGTTGTGGCTGCTGGCGGATTTGGACGACTGGTGAGTATGTTTATAGAATAAGCTGAACACTTCCTTCCTCATCCACCCCGTCCCTCCCCTCCCTCCTCTTCCTCCTACCTCCCCTCCCTCCTCTTCCTCCTACCTCCCCTCCCTCCCCTCCCTCCCTCCCTCCCTCCCCTCCCCTCCTCCTCCCTCCTCTCCTCCTCCTCCCTACCTCCCCTCCCTCCCTCCTCCGCTTCCTCCTACCTCCCCTCCCTCCCCTCCCTCCCTCCCCTCCCTCCCTCCCTCCCTCCCTCCTCTCCTTCCCTCTCCCCCTCCCTTCCACAGCACATGTTCCTGACAGAGCAGAGAGATGATGTCATGAAAGCCATAATCCTTGCCTCTCGCAGCAACATTGGATACGATATAGCGTCAGTCACTCTCACACTCACTCCATTATATGCTGCACTACTTCTTACATTCTGTTGTCTGAGGTCAGGAGAGGTATATATGTACATACATAGGAGGAATGTGAAACCAACAGGCGAGCTCAATGTCTGAAGATTGGGAATTTAACTCGACCGAAGTAATTCTTCCGCCTCTCTCCTGACCTCAAACAGCTTAATATACACTCATCTACCATTACCAAAGAGATAAGATTGTCTCTTTCTCCCCTCCCCCCTCTCCCCCCCTCTCCTCAGTGTTCACAGAGACCTCATCACACAACATGACTTCCTGGAGAGGAGACTCGGCAAGTACAGGTATGACCTAATCCCATGGCCATCATTGTACACGTACCACTGGTGCATGTAGATTTCACTCATCAATCCACACACAGTTTTCTCATTTTAAACAAGTAAATGAAGTGAAAAATGGTTCCCTAAGTGGGGAATATGCAAAAATTTCAAAATCTGTGTCTCTCATTTAACTGCTCTCCTTCCTGCTTTTTACACAGTGATGATGACTCCATTACATCACTTACAGAGTTCAAAGTTCAGAAACACACTCCTAGATACCTGGTCAGTGGGTGATGATGTAATCTCGTGTGATCATCACATGACCATCATGTGCCAGGAGCCGGCTCCGAGGATCCTGGCCCTCTCAGAGAACTGTATAATAGAGAGAGACCCCTCCACTTACATTGTCGTTACCATACGACCACTCAGTGAGGTACAGTGTATATGTATAGTGTTGTATAGAGATGTTGTTAGTCTGATGTGATCTGTTGGTGTCTGTTGCCATGGTGATGTATGTGCAGGTGTTTGCTCTGATTCGCTACACCAATGATCCCCAGAGGTTCAGCATTGAGTACGTCAATGGCATCGTCAGGAAATACAGTGCTACTGAAAGGTGAGTTTCACTTCACCATGGAAATTTGAGCCGTACAGTGGAACTGGACACCAATGGGACAAAAGAAAGTGCCCATGATAAGTTGGTGTCCTTTTTCAGGGGTTAATTGCATGCAAGAATCGTAAAGAAAAAAGTTTCCTCTTTAGAGAGGTGTCCTCGTTTTTGGGGTATCATTTTGGAAGAGTTACACTGTGTGTGTAATGTTTGCTTATACTTTCGTATACACATCTCTCCCCTCCTCCCCCTCTCCCCTCCTCCCCCCCTCCTCCTCCTCTCCCCTCCTCTCTCTCTGTCCCTGCCAGAGATGCCCTGCTGTGCAGTATCCTGGATGGAGTGAGGGCCAGTGGGAACAGAGACGTCTGTGTGAAGATGACACGCACCAACCGAGGCCAGAGACTGGGACCACTCCATCTGCCTGTGGAGGAGGAGGTGGAGAGCCAGTACCTCAAATACCTCGTCAACACTCCTCCATGTGAGTCATGTGACCTTCCCTGTGAGTCATATGACCTTCCCTGTGAGTCATGTGACCTTCACTGTGAGTCATGTGACCTTCACTGTGAGTCATGTGACCTTACCTGTGAGTCATGTGACCCCTCCCTGTGAGTCATGTGACTCCTCCCAGTGAGTCATGTGACCCTCCCTGTCAGTCATGTGACCTTTCCCTGTGAGTCATGTGATCTGCTTTGAGTTACAATGTGATCCTCGATGTACAAGTGTGGCCTTCCCTTGTTAATCATGTGATCCTTCCAGTGAGTCATGTGACCTTCCCCTGTTAATCATGTGACCATTTCAGTGAGTCATGTGACACCCTCTATGACTCATGTCACCACAGTCATGTGACTCTCAAATTATGGTCGTAATACTCTGTCTATAATACATTTCTTGCTCGATTCTATGGTAAACGTGCCTCCTATCCTCATTCTCTTACCCCCAGCGGTGCAGTTCCATGAGGCAGTGGAGAAGTTCAACTCCAACGTGGCTTACAGTGGCCTCAACCATGCAGTGTCTTCTGAGGTCGGGCATTCGTGAGAACCCCTTGTCGGTTTCATGTGAAATTTTGCCGTTGATTCTCACGTCTCCCACTTTTTTCAGCCCTCTTGGCCATAGGGCATAAATTTGTCATGGGCTCTAAATTTCGAGATTGTAAAAATCCCTATCCTGGTAAAATACATGGAACTGATGGCTTTGATGCAGTATTCCACGAACTTGGTTTTGGTATAATACACATTCAGTTGAAATTTCAGCTTCTCTTCTTTCTCCCCCTCCACACCCCCCTCCCACTCCCACACACACCCACACACACCACCCACACCCACATACCCACACCCCCCCCTCCACACACATCCTCCCCCACACCGTCTGTACTCAGGGTATATTTTCAGAGAACAAGGAGAAGCTCATCAACGGATCCCTCACCGCACTGCTGATGAAGGAAGGAGACCAGAGTTCCCTCCCAAATGACAGACTAGAAGAACAGTTCCATGCCCTCAGGAGACTAGTGGCCTCCAAGGCCGGCTATGAGGCCTTCACCTCCCTCACCAAGTGAGACGCTACCGTATTGCTGGACATTTACTAGGGAGAACACTTTAGTCATTTGGTAACAAACAACTTTGCTGGTCCCGGTCCGCAATACAAATATCCCTTCAATATTCTACATGTTGTTTGAGATCCAGTGACTATACCCTCTTTAGGACTTCAGTCACACATATTATATATACACAGTACGTAGATGGCGAGCTGTCTACAAGTACACCTGTTTTCAACCTCCCATTGGTTGCTCATGGAAATGAGCGCCAAGAGGGAACACACATACATACATATATACATATATACACTTGCAGTAAGTACAGTTTGAACTCTGTCAGATTTAGCAAGGCCTCCCCTTTATCATGTGACCCTTTAACCCTTTCCCCCTCTCTCTCTCTTCTCGTCCCAGTTTTCAGGGAGATAGTTGGGAAGAAGGTGGTTCGAGCCCTCCGCAGGAAGGACGACGGGATCAGCCATGCCTCTGTGGACTTCTTGTGCGCCCTCATGCAGCCCATGCACGACACTACGACCTGAGACAGGAGCAGATGAACAAGTCCTCTCTCCTCTCCAGCAAACCGTTCCTGGAGATGGTGCTGGAACCTCTCAAGACACACGTGGTGAGTAACCACTATTCACTGCACTCTAGTAGAAATGATGATTCTCCCATTTTAAAGGCTTACTTACTTTGTTGCATGCTACACCGAAAAAACCTGTCCTTGAAAGTAAGACCACACCACTGGTACACCACTGGTACAATGTAGATATACTGAACTCTAGTGGACATGATTCTCTTATTTTGGACCCAGTTTACGAAAGGCCAACATTTATACTGTAGCACAACTTTGAAGTGTGAGACAAAAGTCTCATGCAACTTCAATGTATGAGTATAGTAGAAATGATGTTCTCCTATGCTAGACCAAGTTTACTAAAAGCCTATTTTCTTTGTTGCGTGTTACACCGCAAAAACCTGTCCTTGAAACTGCAAAATTAACGAAGTCCGCTGGCAAACTTTAGTGATGATGTGTTGCACAGGGAGAGTCGGGGGAGTGGGACTGGTAGTGAGCTCCATCCTCGATTTCTTCACATTTGCCGTCTGTCCTCCCTACAGGTTTGTACTGTACATACACTACATACACACTATAAAGGGACTAATATTTACAATGTCACTTTCTGTTTAAAGTATATTCATACATGTACGCTGTATATGTGGTGCTCATTGTACTGATGTATTATCTCTACTTTCAGTGAGACAACTGAAGCAGAGAAGTTTGACATGGTTTTGGAGCTCATTTCTGGTCTGTCTCCATTATAACAGTACATCTCCATTATAATACATACATACAGTACTCATTCATCTGTATTGTCAATTGTATTCCCTGTAAATACTCTCCCTACTTTACAATAGTCATGATTTATTGAAGGGTGCTGCAAACTTGGAAGTAAAATAATAAGTTTACCACTGCTAGTGGTGTGTATAATGTTAAATATTCTCTCCCTCTGCAGGTCTGGGAAGAACAGTGTTCAAACTCTTTCAGGTATTAAACGTAATCGGGAATAGGAATAAGATTACATATTGCTTTGCAAATCGAACCACAAACACCTACAACCTCGACAACCTGCTGAGCTCGGCTAGTTGAGCGCTCGCCTAGACTGCAGACTGTCCTGGATTCGAATCCCACCCAGGGCAGCTCTTCTTTTTCCTTGGTAAAAAAGAGCTGTCCTGGGTTTAGTTGTGTTGTTTTTAGTTATTGCAGCCTGTTGTTAACACATGTGTAGATAGCTCTCTACAGAAAATTCTTCCTCTGTTGAGTCATTCTTTGTTCATTTTCTCTTCCTCAGCACCCTTCTCTGGCCATCGTGAAGGCTGCTGGACTCATCATGAAGGCCATCATTGAGGTGAACATTACATCATCATTACATCACTGTCTGTCCACGTGTGTTGGGTGTGGTATCGCCAGGAGGGGACACCGGAGATGGCAAAGAAGATGCAGGACCTGGCGCTGGCAGAGGGAGCTCTCCCCCGGCACCTCCACACCTCCCTCTTCACCGCTTCCAGCGACAACAGACTCCTCACTCACAGGTCAGAGGTCAACTCCTGACCACACCCCTCTATCGACGTGTGTAAGGCTACAGCAAGCTCACATTGAAACCCTGGCTTGTACAGGTTAACCAGCTTGTATGTAGATACCACCAACACACACAATGTACATAAGGAAGCACTGTCCAAAAGCTTCCTCTGTGGGGATGTGCAGTGAGGATTACTTGGTTTGCAAGTGTGTGTGTGTGTGTCGGTTTTTTGCAATGTGCAGCAGCTGGAGTGGCCAGCCCATCAATAGCAGTGTGGTAATTGGGGAGCGAAGCGAGCCTAACAAGTCGTCTGTGGGGGTTTTCTGTGTACATCTTTCTTATTAACCCTCGGCGCGCATGGCATGGACAGCGAGGGTTACGGTAGTCGTTCTGTGTGTGTGTCTGTGTGTCTGTCTGTGTGTCTGTCTGTGTGTCTGTCTGTGTGTCTGTCTACGACTATTCTCGCACTACAGGCAACGAGGCGGCTTATGAGCGATACCAACAGCTTTAGCGGTACATGGGCTAGAAAAATTAAATGGCGATTTTGCTGAAACGACTGCGTTCGAGAGCGACAAACTGGCACGGTCGCGGACAGCATTGCGTGCCCCAACCCATCAATAAGCGGTGCACATGCATGTATTAGATGCAGTATGCTGGTTCACCTCGACCTGATCCGCTTGCTCTGTGTACCTTGGAGGTACAAGAAGCCACAGCGAAGGGCGTGTATCGACTCCCACATGCTATCTACTACTGTAGCTAGCCAGTGTCAGGCTCTCCGCAAGCTACTAGCGGGAGACCGCGAGTAAACAGCCCATGCCATTAGCTGTACCGCGCAGTTCGCCGAGGGTTTGCACTTTGGTGCTTTTCATGTGATGGGCACTGCACATATACGTGATTCACTAAGAATTGAGTACAC